TCCGATCCAGCTCTACTCGGAAGCGGTAAGATATCTAGAGGCTCAGTCATGCTTACTATGTGCTCTATCTTTATCCTTACCCTACCCAAAAAAACACACACGCCAGCGCCATCAGAACAGTTTCGTAGTGAGAGACCATTTTTTTGTGCTAGCTGTATCGATGGACTATGTACGTCGAAGCGTATTCAACTTGAACGAAGTGTCTGTCACACACATACACTCCTTATCCCTGAGTCAGAGTAGGCGTGGCATTTGAACATGGCTAAACTCAGAGTGCCCGGTAGAACTTCTATACTGTAGTTCGCTGCGGACGGTTGGGCGTGTCAGTGCGGCTGCGTTTGGCGCGGTGCCAAACTCGTTCTACACCAGTTGTTGAAGCGGGCAAGTGACAATACTGTATCATATCCTTCGTATTACTCGTTTTCTACCACTTTTTGTCGCATGCGCTCTTCAACAAGAAGGCAGAGAACGGCTTGATAGGGTGACACACTCATACTGCCTGACACGCCCAACCGTCCGCAGCGAACTAGAGTGTACAATCATATCACTTGCTCGCTTTAACAACTGGTGGAGAACGGGTTTGGCACCGCGCCAAACTCATCCCGCCTGACACGCCCAACCGTCCGCAGCGAACTACACTATATGTTTGTACTCATATATCCATGCAGCACCGCAGCCGCTTCATATCAATCCCTTCGCATATTGTACTTCACAAATGAAGCGATACGAGCATCAGCATCGGTCGGACATTTGTGGGCGGGCGCGGTGGCCGAAATATGTTGCAGCATGATAGGGCTGTAAGGGTATTTTCATTGAAAAAGGCGCCACGCAGCACCTGCTCAGGGGCACAATATTCTTTCGTGCTAGACGTGTCGACCCTGTACGATTCACTTGCCTTTAAGGAGCAACAGTAGTAAGTAACGTACCGGATTCATCATTGGCGTCATTGGCTCTTCAGTGCTCAGCCAGAAGGAGTAGTCATTCCTGCTCGAGAGATGGCAGACACTGTTCAGATTACAGAACATGAAGGGCATCGTGTTGAATTTAGAAAGACATGAGCCCGCTTGACCTGAAATAAATGATTTCATCAACATCAGGCGTCGAAGAGCTTCGAGGCAATATCAGCAACGTTCTCTACTACGAATAGACACCGTGATCTCAAGGCCTTACGTCTCTATCAAGATTTCCTGTTTGTTTATATTCTCATGAAGAGTTCATTTCAGAAGGCCAAGCAATTCATTCACTATGTTATGTTTTAAAGCCTGCAGATGGATAGAAGTAGGACCGCAACTTATTTGATCTAGAAACATTATCATGCCAAAGTTGATGGTGAAGCTTAGTAGTACCAAACATTTCATACAGTTCGGTCCTTATCCCGTTTGCTGGGAATAGTAAACCCTGAGGCTTATTCAGGATTCGCCCTGAAAGAATCTAAAACAACAGCTCCTAAAAATCATCTTTTGCCTTCGGTTGGCTTGAAGAGTCTGCACCCTCCGAAAGTCTGCGTTATATCCCCAAGTCACGACTTTTGTGTTTCTCTGTCTCTCCAACTCTACCCTTGATCTCTGCACCTTTATCATTAAAGGCAAGGGGTGCGACAAGTTGTTTAGGCGTGTACGCTGAATACATCGGCCAAGAAAAACCTCTTCTCCTTCCCTTTGCAGCCCTGAGCAGGTTCTTACATGGTGCCTTTTCCATCAAAAGGGTCTTAATGGTGAGTGTTCCAGAAAAAGCATGCTCCCGTAACTCCGCGCACAAACGGACAGCGCCACAAATGGAAACGATCGACCAGACAGGTTGACATCGGGTCAGTTAGCTTTTACAACATTGCGGCCGAATAGAACCTTTTCACCTTCTTCAGGGCTCCTTCAGTTTACAGTTCTTGTTCGTCAAGAAAATATTTTCCTTTGATACAGTGCGAGGTTTTCTTGCAAGCAGTGGCCGTTTTGGAGCTTGAGACTTGTTTTACTTGTTGGCTTTTTTGCTGATTACCGCGAACCAGATAGCCGCTTCGTGAAAATAACCTGTGTGCCCCTGCCAGGGCAATCATTTTTGGTTGGGATTCCGTCGAGCTTGAAGCCCCGCCCCTTTTTTTTGGGGGGAGGGGTTGGCACGAGTCCGGTCCTTTGTTCCTCTTCACCACGAGTCGTGGGGAGGAGAGGAGGGAGGGGTAATGCCACTGTGAATCAGGAAAGCGCGAGACAATACCGCCTCTCTATCGCTTTCAGATTTTCCCCACTTCCTGTCACTTTTTCCAAATTTCCCGAAAGTTCCCTTACTACTCCCAAAACTTTTGCTGAGTCGCAAACGCATATATGTAGTCGCATGAAACAGGGAAAATCACAGAAAGCACCCATCACTCTAGAAAAAGCCAGCAAGTATACGACCCCCTCCCAACTCATGTCACCAGTGCGAGCCCCTCCCCTCACGTCGTAAGCGAGAAAAATCAGTTATTCAACATGAAATTTTCGGCCAGCCCAAAAACGACCCCCTCTCCTGGCGGCCGAATACGACTTCCCCTATTGGGGATTCCCCAACAACGATGTGCCTTGCCCCTGCTTCTGTTAAGGACCCTGTTTGATATTGTCGTGGGTTTGTTATTGCTTAAATAATGTGTTTAGTTTCCGTTTCAGCCGCCGTGATGTTTTTACATTGATCTTTGACCACCAATGATTATTCTCAGGGGTAGACAAACACTTCACAGCTGAACTGGTTGATAAGGGCATTATTTCGGGCGCTCTTGGCTGTTTCGTCTCGTTTTTGCCTTACCGTCGCACTATTCAATGCCTCTGCTCCCGCTTTCTGTAGAGAAGCAATTATCGTGCCCCGGCCTCTGAATCTGTTCTCTATACGTGTTTGTTGCGGATCTCATTGCGCCCCGACGTTGCTCTAAATCTTTCCAAACGTAAACCCTACTTCACTAGGCTCCCACAGTTGCTTGCGCTTCTGGCCTTCGGTTCTCGAGCCTACCTGCGAACCTGCATAAGGGTGTGTTGTTGGAATGAACATAGTCATTGAGTACATATGGGTAAACTTAGGTTTCATATGGGTAAACACGACGAATAGGTAAGTTATTCTCACCAAGGTCTTGTCCGCTGGATCTACCGTTTCCTTGTACATACAGAAGAGAATAACCCGTCCATAAAGGTGTGGCTCCTTGTGGGCATGAGGGAACCTAGAATTGAAAGAGGAACATTCAAGGCGGAACAAGTCATGAAAGTGACTTAAGCATAGAAAAGAGGATGCCAATTTGTGGCTGGAAAAGAGATACTGTGCATAAGATACTCACTTCGGTTGTCTGTGAGTGCTTTGCGAAGGTGAAACCTCTAGAAGCTTGCCCAGTGCTCCCGGTCCATCCTGGATTCTGAGTGCTGGGAAACCTGGCCTGACCAATCGATCCAGGGTTCACGAGTCCGGGAGAGTCCAGGTGTCGCCCTTGAATTCCGATTCATGGAAGGCTGGCAGCCTTCTCCTGGTGGTCCGGGGTATCCGGCTTTTCCGGGTGGTCCTTGTTGCCCTGCAAAAAAGAGTTTGTAGGCCATTGATCTACGCGGAGTAGAAAAAGCACTTCTTCTCTCTAGCGTTAGTCCTGCGCCGTCAGCGTCATTAGGGAAGCCAGAAAACTACTGCCAATTAAAGCGCACTCATCAGATTAGGGCTGAGAAGCTATGTTTAATTATGCTAACAATGCAAGGTTCAGGAACCTAGGATTTTGGCAGTCTTCTTCTACAGCTTTGCCCCGCACTGATTGGTCAAGGGGATTCAACTCAAGAAGGCCGTGTTCGCTGACCTATCCCGACAGGAGATTGAGAGGCGACGCCTTCTGCACCTTAGACTTTCGCGCCGAGGACGTAACTCTTGGATTCAGAACAAGGAATGTATGAGAAACTTCTATTTCCGGTCGCCTACAAGACCCTCAACCCCGTATCACAAGATGGAGATGAGAAATGACAGCGACTAATCTGCCGCGCACTGGCGATGTATTCCTGCAAACCTTACAATTTCCTGTCCGATCGCGGGATTGAACGATCAATAAATATATTGTATGTTATTTCTAGCATTTTACTGATACATTGTCAGCTTCGTGCTACCACAGTCCCATCTGTGTGGTCGGGTGCTGCATCAACGGCTTGCTGTTGCTCTGTAGGCTAATATAAAAAGTTACGTGAGTCTCCCAGGTAATCCAGGCGTATCCTTTTTCTCCAGGCCAACCTGGCTGTCCAGGTTCTCCTTTTGGACTTGCCAATGTAATGCCTTCAGGCCCAGGTATTCCAGGTGGACCTTCACGACCAGGTCGACCGTCAATTCCAGGCAGTCCAGGTAATCCGTCCATGCCACGCTCTCCTTTGAGACCAGGGATTCCAGGTAGACCTGGGAAACCATCGTCTCCCTTCATGCCCGGATATCCTGGTGCTCCTGAATGTATAATTGTTCAGTGAGGAAACTTCTTTCACTTACAGGTCCTTTTAACCTACCAGGTGGTCCTCTTTCTCCTGGATAGCCAGGAATCCATCACGCTCCAGGTAGTCCAGCTCGTGTCCATCGTCCCACAGTTCACCAGGTGCACCAGGTATTCCATCCAGACTGGCGGTCCCGGCAATCCCTGGTGTTCCGTCATGCCCTGAAGCAATTACCTTTATGCTGCCCATTCAGAAAATGTGGCATGCAACCATAATGACGAAAAAAAACATCTTGGAGGCCGTATATTTGCACATTGCGAGCGATTACCGTAGTCTTACGCCTAGCTTTACGGTGCAGTTGAACTCTCTCCACCGGTATTTCAGACTAGGAATTCCAGGTAGACCTGAGAAACCATCGTTTTCCTTCTGGCCTGGATATCCGGATGCTCCTGCATGGACCGCTATTTCGGACTAAGTGGCCTTCAGTGAGACCCAACATAGAAGAACTGTCATAACAGCTGTTACAATATTAGCACACTGACTCAGATAATTCGACAGCTCTACTCTCGTAGTGAACGCCCACTTTTTTGAATGCAGGGGTATTGCAGCATATACTGCGGGTCCGCCTCTGCTCCCTGATTGGCCGAAGCTCGAGCTTATAATTCGATAAGATGATGTTAATCAGCAACAATGCTGTATTTGTGATCATAAATTCGAGCACCTCCCCTCTTTTTTGGAGCTGGACTCTTATCGATCAGGAGAAATTGCAGAAAAATTGCTGAATATATAGAAAAGGCCCTACAAAAGAAGCGCATTTCGTAGCTCCTCTCGCTCCATTAACTGGGCTGCGTTCATACTTCGCGGCGGAGTCCATCAGCGTTCCGAGCGTCCAGCACCACCGTGCATAAAACCTCGTTGAACTGCGTTGCGTGCAATCGTACCATACAACTACACTACACCGTACGTTAAATTGCATAATTCTGTGCTTTAGCAATTGTGCGGTGCGGTCGCACACGCCGCAATTTCACGCCAATCCATGCTCCCCTCCTACTTCCCCATAGTCTCTACTCCCGGTCGTTGGTGGACGCTGGCTGACGCTGACAGACGCTAAATCGATATCTATACTTTCCTAGTCGCTGATGCTGACGGACGCTCGAAGCGCTGATGGTCGCTGGTGGATGCGAAAGAGGAGAGGGGGGAAGAGGCAGTTCAGAGTTGTCCACAAAGTAGTGCCTGAGAGAGCGCAAATTACGAAAGAAAACACCCTCTACCTCCCAACCCTTCCTGATCCGGTCATTGGAGCTATGGGAAATCAGTTATGGAGAAACTCCGCCAGACTAAAAAGCCCCCCCCCTCCTGCGTTGAATTCCTGGTCAAGCGCGGCATTGTGATTCCAATCATACATAATTCCTTCCACAAAATGCAAATGCACCCATTTCAAATGAACTTCACAAGTCAACTATCTCCTTCACTAAATCAAGAGTAGAAATGAACGTGGGACCTGGATGATTCGATACCGTGACAACACACTCTACAAGTTGGAATCCGGACATTAATTGAGGTGCATGATGTAAGATTCACCTTCCCAAAATTGTGACGCCCTGGGTCTTAATCCTGTACTCTACCTTGCTCCATATTGCACGATTCACTAATGTAGGGG